CTGGCTGGGGTCATCTGACCCCAGCGCTCTTTCCTGCCTAGGCAGGGGGTTGGACTCAGTGATCTGTTGAGGTCCCTTCCAACCCTAGCTTCTATGAATCTATGACTCCTTAACTGGTTCGCAATAAACCTTAAGCAAGAAAGTTTTTGAGGGGAATTCATATCATGTCTTGTAACAGGAATGATTTATAATTTTCTTATACACCTGGAATAATGTACTTAGTAAATTAAAAAGAGCCTCCATCATAAAATTAGCTGATAATTTTAAAATTAGCCTTGCAATTTAATTCCAGCAGTAGCAATCCCTACTATTTGTTTAAAATTGGAACAACATTCTGTACAAAGATTTTCATTTCCATACAATGTATGAACCTAAATAAGGCTTGCTTACAGTAAGCATTTGTCTTCCTGCTTCATTGTTGTGGTTTTTTCCCTTCTCCTTACAGTCTCTTTTTTCTCCTCCCTCCTGCCCTCCCCCTCTCCCCCAAAGTATCTAATTTGTTGCACAGGTTTGATTCTCAGTGAATCAATAGAGCCCATAGTGAAGTCTACATTGGAGCCTGCCATCAATTATATTTTACCACAAGTATTTGACCTTAGGCAGGCACAATTACACAAATTCAGCATGAGCAAAAAAAAAAGCAGCCTCTGCATAGTAATTACTGTCTTACATATTCTCAGATGATTTAATAGTTTGAGGTTTTGCTTTGAGCTGGAACAACTTGTGTGCTATCCACTGAACCTATGAACATGGGTACCTATGAATGTGTTACTGTGGTTTTAAGAACAGATTCTTAACTTGTATATGTACCAAAGTATCATGTACCAATGGTAATTGCTTATACATCAGGGAGAAGAATTTCTGCAAATAATACTTACTATTTCAAAAATGTCAAGTTTTTGAAATATTTTAGTAGTATTTGAATCTATTGAACACAACCAGTGTATCAGTGCCAAATGAAACCTTTTTCTCTGTGCTAGCACAGACATTTGTCTACAAACCTTGCTGCATGCTATTTTCACGTTGCCAACACTGTATCAAAAGAATATTTCAGAAAAATAGTTATTTCACCTAAAAATACATTAGAAGGATATTCGAAGTATGACAAAATGACGACAGCAGTAAAGCATTCCGTGTACTCACTGATGTCAAAGCATATACAGGCACATCTGTAAACTAAACAGAAGAATGCCTCGTTAGGTGTTGATTCTGGAGCACATGGAATGTGTTTCTTTAAGTTACCTCAAATGAAAGTGGACATAAAAATTATCAATGTTAACTGTAGCACCTATAGGTACAAAAACAATCGTCATTGTTTCCAAACAGATTCTGTACAACCGCTGTACTTATTTCTAAAGCTCTTGTCCCTTGTCTCTAAAAACAAAGAACTAGACTAGGGGTGGCCAACCTGTTGCCACAAATGGCATGGGCAGCTTTTGAATGTGTTACATGGCAGACTGGGGACAGGCAACACAGTGGCAAGGAAGGAGAAGACAGTAGCAGATCAGGCAAGAAAAAGAAAGCACAGAGGCCAGGAAGGGAGGGGATGGGAGTGGCACTCGGAGGCTGTGTGGGTAATTTGTGGTATACCTGCCAAAAAGGTTGGCCCCCGCTGAACTAGACAATGCTAATTTACTACACATTGCATATATGTAATAAATGTTAGTAGCATGTAATGTAATGCATGTTAGTAGCACTGGGTCAGATTGCAGCTGAGTTTGTGATTAGCATTTACTTCACACCAGTGACTTCTCCAGTAAGAATGCGGATCGCCACTAGGAACCTTTCAACTTTTGTTTTTTGTTTTCTTTCCCTTCACTCAAATAGAAAAATTCCTGAAACTTTTTACTGTTATAAATGTATCACATCTCTGCAGGCTTGTTTTTTTGTTAACCATCCCTTTTCTATCCCTCAGGGCTCTGATCCTACTGCTTTCTCTGTACTTACACAAGCTATTACTGGTCAAGTGGGGTTTGTGGACGCAGAATTCTGTACCACTTGTGGAGAAAAGGGTGCAGACAAGCGATGTTCAGTTTGCAAAATGGTAAGAGCGTACAGCTGTTATTTAAAAAAATCTAATGTCACCGATTGCTGACAGTCTGGAAAGTGCGTTTACTTCCTTGAACTGGAGCTCTTTGAGAAGTGCCCTGCAGGTTCACATGTAAGATGTATGAGAGACTGTCTTATGGTGCAGGTGCCTTGAATCCAAGGAGCAGGAGTACCTAGTGTGTTTGGGGGCGTTATGTCATTTCTCAATTAATTATCATTCAAAGAATTCCCTTTGAGGTAATGCATGGGACAGTCATGTTGTTGTATGCCTCTACTAGCTTTAAAAATGTAATCTAAAAGTAGTACTCTTTAGTATACATGATAAATTACTTCCAGTGTTTGGTTAATACTGTACTTTATCTCCCTCAAAATAAAATGCTATGCTGCCTTTATTACATTAAGTTGCCTCTGATAACTTTCAGGTAATGTACTGTGAACAGAACTGCCAAAAAATACACTGGTTTACCCACAAAAAAGTCTGCAAAACACTGAAGGAAATCCATGAGAAGCAAGAACTAGAAGCTGCCAAAGAAAAAAGGAAACAAGAAAAAAGGCAAAAGAAAGGTAAGGATTTACAGCTCGCCGACTGAAACTAATCCTGCACCAGCAACACAGGAAGCAGCCATAAAATCTGTGAATACATATATAAAGTGAACTTCTGTGATGTCTGGTTTTTTTGCTACAACCAAGACCAGCATTTGTTAGAATGCTCAACTTTGTATTTGTGAATGCAGTATCCCTTTTAAGTGTTTAATTGTGTGTATATCATTTTGAAAGTAGACATGCAAATGATTTTTTGAGACCACAGCATGAGGAATTCCAACTTCATGGTTTCAAAATCTTAAAAGACTCATCAAGAAAACTAAAGCTATCTTGCTTCATGTTCCTTTACAAATGGAAGGCCAGATGACAAGTTGAATAATGACACTAAACCATTGTTCAAGAGGGTAATAATTCAGGAGTTAATTTTCTGGTGTAGTGTAAATATAGTTCTGCAGGTTCATTAGTGATTTTTTTTTTTTTCCCCTCCAGCAACCCAAATGAGAAACTCTGCCAGAGCAAAAATACTAATGACCCTTTTCTACTCCTTGTTTGAAATGTTAATCACAAATGAGAAAATGTTCTCTAATTTCCTGTCCCTTAGCCTCCCCTCTTTATACCATAATGCTTGCCTTACTCTTGGGGGTTTTCCCACTTCAGTTGGCTTCTAAAATGCTACATTTAATATTTATTAAGAGCTTGTCATAGACTCCATCTTTGATTCTCTCTCTGCATTTAAGAACCCCAAATGGGCTTTCTGGAGTCATCTACAACTTGATTTGGAGAAACCAAATGTACTTACCTTTACCATAGAACCTTCAGTCTCAAAAGTATAATATGTGGCTCCTCCTAGCCCAGTCAAACAGGTGAAGTTCAGAATAATTTACTCCAATCAACATTTAGCACTCTTAACACAGAACTTCTTGTGTCTTCCTCATGAATTCTTTGTAAGTCTCAGACATTTTTTGTGTTCATACATTTTTCAGTCCTTCATTCCTTGAAACACTATCTTGAAATGTGCAGGAAGTACTGGATTAGATTAAGTTTGAAATGAGCTTTGTGATGATAGGACACCATTAGTTAATACCCTAATCAGATCAAAAGTAGTTGGATTATAAACCTGCCCTCACAATAAAGGAAAAACTCTAAACATAAAGGGGAGTTAATGGATATCTTGTCTGAATGAGAGATCTAAGATTGGTTCCAGTATAACTTTGCATCACCCAAGGCAGAACTGTGGAGTCTGACATCCCTGTCAGTAAAGTGGGGTTAAGTTATTATTTTTAGAAAAGTGCCCTTTTTAATTTAAATGAAGTTGTACTGCCATATTCAGCCTTGGTACCAGCATCTGCTTGTACATGTGTTGTGGAGTCTGTTGATGGGATTTGTGAGATGTGTATGAGCTGTTCTCTCCTGTTTTTATTAGATAAGGCACAAGGAGTGGATACTAGTTCCATGAGTGAAGAACAGCAGTCAGACTCTGACCCATCTACCAAAGACGACCCATATCACGCAGCTGACAGAACAGAGGAAAGTGGGTTTAACAAAGATCTTGCAACATTACCCCCTCCACCTGACAGTGTGTCTGAAAGTGAGACTGGCCTGCCTGATACTTCTGTTGAAAAAGGTCAAGAACCTGAAGAGTGAGATATGTGGGTGAGGAGGGGTTGAGCCCTGCACCTCAAAAGTCATGGACATGTCTGTAGCCCTCACAGAACCGCATATGTAAGACTGCCTGTGCAAGACAGATGTGTACCCAGAGTTGAGAAATTGGGCAGTATGCCTGCCATGTGATACTGGAGACTCGATCATAGATGGTCAGAACAAGTCGTTTATCATCTCATCAAAACAATAGTGACATTTATCCATCTGTGTTTATACCTACCGCAAGTATAATCAATCTCTGAATATCTGAGGTAAATGTACCACCAGCTAGTGAAGTGGGAAATCCTCCAAGTAATTTGGCTGATTCTTACTTTCAAAATGTAAAGTCCTATTTTGTAGTAATATAAAGATTTTCCTGCAAGTGCAGTAGAAATGTAGCTGAGAGTCTTAGGAAGCTGCATGGGGAGTTGGCAGTTAAATTACATCTAATTTCTGCAACTTCATATAAAGACAGCTTTGTAACATCTATGTTTTTGAGACCCTTCAGTTGGATTCTGAAGACTTCACTACTTTACTGTAATGAGTTAGTTTCCAGTAGATACACAGCAATATTTGTGTTGTGAGAGTTTCATTAAATGATACTGTTGTTCCAGATGTCACAAGCTGACTGTGAATATATCTTCCAAATAAATGACTTTTTTTTCTCAGACAAGACGTGGATATGCTTTAAATAGTTAACACTTTAAAATGATTGGATGGTGATGGTTTACACCTTTTTCCTGTTTGGAAAAGTTATTTCTATTATGCTAGATTTTATTTATGAATTATTTAGTAAGCATTGACAGGTGCATGGTATCATGTGAGAGAGAGAGAGAGAAGTCTTGTTCCACTGAAGACAGTGCTGTACTGATTTCAGCCAGGCTGGGCTTTAGTTAGTACTTTTAGCTAAAGATGGGCTTCTGAAAATAGTGTGCAAAGAGAAACAGTGTTACTCAGAGTATTTATAAGCATCACTGTTAAATATACTGGAAGTTCTAGGAGTGGAAACATTTAGCAGCATGAGCATAGGCTATGTACTTTTCTGTGGCTCAAAAATGATTTCAGTCCCCAGGGTTGGAAAACTAAAACAGTAAAAGACTGTTACTTCAGATGGGATTTTCAAAGGCACCTAAGAGAATTGTGTCTAAGTTGACTGAAATTCATTGAGATTTGGGTGCCTAACTGCCTCTGTTGAAAATCCCAGTCTCAATTTTCACTAACTAGCCTTTAAAATTAAAGGCAGTCATGTCCCATCCCCCCACTTTTTTTGCATTGTTTTATCTTTCATTCTACCAGCCTCACTTCCTTCCTTCTTAGGGTCTTCCCCCTGGTGATGGAGAAATGCCAAAAGGGGAAAGCCCCCAGAACCCTAGGTTAGGGGCAGTTTTGCAAATAGTGAAGACTGGGACCTAGGCTTGCACTGTGCAAGGCACTGTTTAAGTTGCTCAGCAGAGCTTGCCTGACTGCTTGTTTGAAGTTAGACTGTGAATAAGGTTAGATCCACAATTAGCACAGGCTGACATGCCTTCATCATAAGTCACAGGAGTGAACAAATCAAATGTAACCCTAATTAGGGCAGGGGTGACCCCCACCCCCCAGAGGACCTATGTTCTTCTGCCTTCAGCCTGAGCTAGTGGCAGCTTGACTGTGGGAAGAATGCCCATAGCTGATGTTCTACTTAACTTTGGGATCTGGAAGCAGAAGTCATTTCGCATTGCATGAGCTTCGCTAGGCCAACAGAAGCAGAATTAAATTTGTTTGGTAAGTTACCAGTGTCCTGAACAACAACATCTTCCTCCATGTGGTTTCAGCTTGACCATGAAGATATGCAGCTGCACAGCACAAGGTCAACAGACATACTGTCAAGCCTGCAGGGAAGTGGAAAGCATAGATGAGACCTGACCTACACCATCATACTATTGTATCTCTAGTCTGCCTTCTGTGAAAACTGCTGGCCTCATCTCTGGTTCCCCCAGCTGTTCTGTTTGGCTCTCAGCCCCACCTGCAGGAGACAGTGTAGCAGGTCTTGCTTCTGAATTCCCATTTAGACTAAGCTGCTGTTTTATTTTGCGCTTTTGGTAGCATGCTAGACCAAGAAGAATTTGACTGACTTACCTGCATATGCTAGTCTAAAGTTATTTGAATGGATGTTTAAATGTATTTAATAAACCGAGCGCCCAGACACACAGCACAACCTGTCCTTAAATCACTGGGGTTTGTTTTTTTTTAAAAAGGAGCAGACGCGTGACAGACAGACGTACACTGATATAACTTACCAGGAGAAATCGGGGGTTCAACTATACTATTGTAAGTTACACCAGTATAGGCATCACATCCACTTCTGTGCTAAGGTAGTTGCTCAGTTCAAATATGCTGTCACTGGCTTCCCTGCCACCTATAGGTGAGGTGCTGTAAGTGCAGCATCTACCCTGCAGGAGCTGTCTGCTTGCTTCTGGTGCCAATGTAATCTACATCTGTACAAAACGGATTCAAGTTCTATCACGGTTACCACATAATATAGTATAGGTATGCTGGAGTGATCTTGTGGCCTTGATGGTAGTTGATTCTAGGGTCCTTAATTTTCCTGTTAATGTAAATTAATTTAAGATCAAAGAAACTTGAGATGACCTTTATATTTTGCAATGAATACTTATTTGTATACAGACGGACACCCTGAGTACTTCACTTTCACTGAAGAGTCTGATTCAAGCTCTGGCCTTAGAAAGCCAGATAAAACATCAGTTCATACAGTCTTTGGTTTTACTATACAGCATAACCTTATAAATTCAGCTTTCAAAATTCTGGAATTCTCAAAAATCCAAAACTTTTAAAAAACACAGTACACTACATTATTGCCTTAAAAAATAGCTTCCCAAATAATCCAGAAATTTCTTTGGAAGTCCAGTGCTTCTCCAACTGCCATTGTTTTTGTTCGTCAGCCTACAGCTATCGTTTCAAACAATACTCAGTCACGCGTATAATGTAAAAGAAAATTGTCCTAAGGCTATGAGCTTTCCTTGTTTCAGGAATCTGGAATTTTCAAATTTCTGGCAGGTGCTAGGGCCCAAGGATGCCGGATTTATAAGGTTATGCTGTACTATGGTTAGCTCTCAATAGGCACTCACCCTTACTGCTGGATTCTCAAATTATCTGTGCAATTTGGCCCCCTTATGCATATATGCATAACATACACATAAGGAGGCCAAAATGCACACGCAATTTGAGTCTGTTATTAGTTGCATGCTCCTTTTTTCCACAGGCCCCATGCCTCAATGGTTCAGCACACAGGATGGACCTGCTGTAAGGATTAATTGGGAGATTGTTTATAACTGTTGTGCTTCTGTTACTGGAGAAATGGGAAGCTGGATAGTGAATGTAATGGGGATTAAGGGAAAAAGAAAGGATTGACGGTTGAATGGCTTCAGAGCAAATTAGATTCTGTTCCCATCTCTGCCATTGTTCCTAAGTGATGCTGTGTGTGTCATTTACATCAAAACATGCACACCACTAAGAGTCCCCCCTCCTTTTCTACATGCCTGAAGTGAAATACCTGGTATTTGATCTGCAGAAGTGGTGAGTGCTCAGAGCTGCAACTGAGGATGATTGGAGCTATATTTCAGAAGTTTAAACTGTTAACAAAAATGTCAATAGTTTGGAAAATTGGGTCCTAGAAACCTCAAGTTGAGCATCCAGAGCTAGTAGGTTTTTGACAATTTGGTCCTTTAATCTCTCTCTCTTCCTCATCTGTAAAATTGGGATAAAACCACCTAGTCTCAGTGTCATTTGTGAAGATAAATTAGTTAATAGCTGTGCATAACCATTAGATACCCTAATAAAATGTCATAAAAACACACAGAAGAAAATTGAATGACTTCCTACTGAACACAAAGTTTGGTGACATGGTAAATAAAGTCTGGAATGAGAAGATAAAAATGAAATTAAGTAACTCTTCATCCACTGAATCAGGCAAAGTTTCAGTGGAAAAAAAATGGTATGCAATAACCCCCTCTTTTCCTTGGCTGATTAGTTTGTTTTTGAGTTTTATAATTTTGACCAAATTTGAGTGGATTTCACAGGCTTGTTTACATAAATACCCGATTCCCCCTGATTTGGAGCAAACTTGAAATTTAAAAGGAAATACCAGAATTTCTCAACTGAATAATTGTAAAAACCTTTGGTATGTAGACTAACTGTCTTTTATACCCTTACAGCTAAATCATTATCTGAAATTTTCCAAGAAATTTTCAACCCAAATGAAATGCAAGCCACAGAAGATTGCAGCCCAAATAGTCTGAAGTTTGCCATAATTCTAAGCAAGTATAAAAGGGTTTTAAAATGGGTTAATCTCTATGGATTCTATCATTGTTCCCAGATTTGCCCGTATTCTTTCCTCCCCTGTATACGGGAGCAGACAAATCCTTGTCTTTTCATTTCCCAAAGACTCCTGTGCAGTTTTTCTACAAGATGGACTGATTAACACCTCTGACTGGCTCAAGTCTAGTGTCAACTGAGAAGCACTGTGGAGGATCCTTGTGAGGTACAGATGCCCGCTGAAATTCATCACAATTCTTTGCCTGCTGTATGATCGTATGAGAGCAAGCGCTGGTTATCAGTAACAGATCTGTCACAAATCCCTTTGAGGTTAAGACAGGAGTTAAGCAAGGCTGTCTCATCACTCTAGCACTCTTCTTGACAGGGCTGGCCCACCTATTTTTTGTGGCCCTGTGGAAGAAATAGTTTTGGGGCCCCCTTGCCCTGAAGAAGCCAGCAGCAGCAGGGGGCACACGCCCCCCCATAGGAGAGTCTGAGGGGGGAGGGGAAAGAGCTATGGGTGGGGAGCAGCTATGCCCAGTGACCTCCGGGGCCTGGCTGCCTCCCAGCCCCCGCCGTGCCAGTCCTGGCCCCGGAAGCCTCCCAGCTGCACTACTGGCCCTGGCTGCCTCCCAGCCACACTGGTGCTGGCTGTGCCAGCCTTGGCTGCCTCCTGGCCCTGGCCACTGCACCAGCCCTGGCTGCCTCCCCACCCCAGCCTCAGCCGTGCACCGGCTGGTGGGGCCCAGAGCTGGTGTCCAGAGCAGGGCCAGCCTAGGCTGCACTGCCAGGCTGGAGGGAATGGAGCCCCCGGGACTCTTGTGCCCACCCTGCCCTATCTCCTATCCCCAGGAAGAGCCTGGCAGTTCCTCCAGAGGCACGGTGCCTGGCAGCCAAGGGGGGAGGGCACATGGCCCCCCAATCTTTGCATGAGTGACGGCAGGCCACAACTGTGAGCTGGGCTCAGCCTCTGCTCCCTGTCTCCACGCCTCACCGCCGCCGCTTCAAAAGCGGTGGGTGCCATGTGCCCTGCTGCCCAGCCCGCCCAGCAGCAGGATGCACATGGTGGCACCCGCTGCTTTCAAAGTGGTGATGGTGAGACACAGAGCAGAGGCTGAGCCCACCTCGCAGTTGTGCCCCACCCTCGCCTGTGCAAAGAGCGGGGGGCTACATGCCCTCCCCCCGACCTCAGCTGCCTGGTGCCACGCCTCTGAAGAAGCCGCCAGACTCCCACAACCTGGCTGGGGCAAGGCCCCAGTCACGGTGAATGCGGGCTAGGCTCAGTCATGGGACAGTCCCCACAGTGCAGGAGGGAGCAGGCCTGGAGCAGGGGTGAATGATTTGCCCTTCCCTTACCCCACTCTCTCTTCCACTGTGGGGGTCGTGATCTGCCCTGTTCCCAAGCCCATGGAAATAAAAAAAATGGATTAAAAGAATCTTACCTGCCTGTGGCTAGGCCAGCTGTGATCCTTGCTGCAAGTGCACAGGGTAGCTCAGTGTGCCCACCCTTTCCCTCATGTTGCAGGACCCTGTAGCCAGGCTGCCCTAAGGCCATGCCTGCTGCTATCCTGTGTTTGGGGGGGCTGAGACCCGTTAGCCCCCACTTCCACTGCCAGTTCACAGGGGGCCCCTTAGCTGCGGGGCCCCCTGTGGCTGCAGGTTGCGCAGTATAGGATGGGCCGGCCCTGCTTCTTGATATTCCTTCCTGCAATGCTACATCTGTTACAAGAAATAATGGCCATAAGCTAGCAGAGAGCAGATTTAGACTGGACATTAGGAAAAACTTCTTCACAGTTAGAGTGGCCAAAGTCTGGAATGGGCTCCCAAGGGAGGTGGTGCTCTCCCCTACCCTGGACCCATCACAGCAGCCTACTCTGTGACCAGCCAAGGAAAGCTCTACCAGGGCTGACACACAAAGACTAATTGCAGTGACTTCATGCAAGAAACAGATAAGCAATAGGAGGCTTTAATCCTATTTGCAGATGGGAGAAAATTAAAGAGGTAAAAGAGATCTCATTAATTTAAAGAGGTCTCTGATCCTCTTAAGAAAAAGTACTAATGATTAATATATTCATTCTTGGTGCTGGCAACCTATCTTAAAGGTTTGTTCCCCGCTTTAAGATAAAATGCAACAGGGCGCTCAGGTTTTGTCAGTGATAATACTATGCTAAAGTTATGTCCAATTGATGACTGGTGTTTTTTTACCTTTATTCCTTGACTCTAATCATTACATTTTTTTAAATTACCAAGTAATAGGGTGGTACAGTTGTTCTGCTGAAAGTTAATGTAATAAGTGTAAGTTACAGTATATGCCTTACAAATGCTAACTTAAAAGCTTTAATACCTATCTAGCATATATATAAATGTTTCCTGAGAAAGCAAACAGTTATCTGAATCTAATTGTCACTTTCTCACAGGGTTCTTTAAGTTTGTTTTCAAGATGCTTTTCTTGATAGGTGGGTATTTTGTTCCAGTCTACACAGGAAAATTCCATTACAGATCTCTTCACTGCCCTTACAAAAACTGCATCTTCAGGGTTCTCAAATGGAACTCTACAAAAAGAACAAAACAAATGTAAATTATCTGAATAATAACAACCAATTTTTCTAACCACTTTGAAATTAATTTGCTAGAAGCCTGTGAAGAAAATAATGTAGGAGTGACTGATACTACTGACTTGAGAAAAGCTTGAGAACTTTGAGCAGTGTTGGAGTGATGTTCAGGGATCTGGGTTTTCTGTTTGCCGCAGAAAACCCAGGACACTGCAGGTTTTCCTGTGCAGGCTGGCAGAGTTCCTTTTCTTCACAGACTCCTCTAGGTATATCTGTCTATGGGGGTAAGGAGGCACAGGCCATGTGTCGGGAGGGTGAGACGGAGCACGTGCCCCACCAAGATGTCTGCACCCAGTGGGGTACGGGGCTGCAGCCAGGCCAGACCAGCTCCAAGCAGGAACCACCTCTGTAGCCCAGCAATTTTTTTTTTGTGGAATAACTTTGGGGTTTATTCCTTGTTTTATGACACCATTAATTGCTATAACCTGTGGCTGGGTCACAACTTAAGACACGATTAACTGGTTAATCGTGTCTTAAGTATAATATGTGGCAGATGCCTAACATATACACATTCAGATACCAGGGCATTGGGTACTGTATGGGAACCTGAATAGGAGAGAATTCTCTCAAAGGTATAACTACATTATAGTACAATAATGTAAAGAAATATGAAGCAAGGTTTCTCTTTGCTTGTTTGTTTAAGCATCTTTTATTATACCAACTGTATAGTAGGAAGAGAAGTTTGACAAGCTTCTGGGCACAAAGCACCCTTCTTCAGATCTGATCTTTAACTATATTTGAACTATGTGACTAATACTGATGACTTCAGTAGGATTTTTTTAATGCTTAAAGATTGGTGCCTTACAGTGTCAATGCACATAGCTGCAGCAGGTGGAAGAGAAACCGTATTTTGTTGTATTGAGACTACTGTCAATTGTCTTGTTTACAATCCTTTTGTATGAAAAACATGATTAAGCCCTCTTTAAAATATGAATTTACCTGATTGTGGAGAGCTGTATTGTGTGAATGGTGCTGTATAATTTGCTGAAGGAAATCTATTGGCTATTTTAATTCATTTGTAAATATATTTCTCAATAGTTTTTATAACTGAAGTTTGGCTTGCCACAGACATTGCTCACCGTGAAGTCAAAAAAAGCCTGGACTCTTAAGTAATTTGTAAGGTTGCCTCATAACAAATGACATGCAAAATGCTTTAGAGCTTTAAATTGATCTTTTCCCTACCTCTGTACACCTTTGCAGAAATACATTTCTGTACTATCATCCCTATAGTACATGATTTAAAAATATAACAATATAAAGTAATCCAACCATAGGCTGAGAAACTTCACCCACACAACAGCGATGTTTCCATAAAGATGCATATTTGAGAACAAGCAATTAGTAGGAAATTACCTGAATCATTTGAAAACAAGCTACTATGATGGTCTAACACTTGAGTTTTTTAATCAACCAGTATTTGATGCTACAAAATTAACTGCATTTTGCACACTCCATTTATACAATGGAAATGCACTGACAGCAGCAACAAGTGGAGTCTTATTGTAAATGGTCAGTTGTTTATCCTCTAGCACAAAAAGCAGACTTTTAAAAACAACAATTCTTTTTTCTTTAGTATGGATAGAAGAGAGAGAGCAAATATTTCTGAAGTGCAAAAACAGAGGTCAGAGCAAGCTACTTACTTGTTCACGTGATTTGCAAATTCATAATCTGTAACAAGTTTAGAATAAGAAGTTAATGTTTGTAGAGCATTTTCACCACTTAAATACTGGCATTCCATGGAAAAACTTCTTTTTCATTTTTGCTGACATCAAAAAGTAAAGTAAAAATTACACCTAGTATCAATTAAATATGACAGTCAATTATCTGAAGTAGTAAGTAGTTTGAACACAGGATTACCACCCATCTTTCTGGAGTTTTTTAAAAGCAAAGACTTTCATAGACTTTCATAGACATTAGGGCTGGAAGGGACCTCGGAAGATCATCAAGTCCAGCCCCCTGCCCAAAGGGCAGGAAGTCAGCTGGGTTCATAGGATCCCAGCAAGATGAGCATCCAGTTTGCTCTTGAAGGTGTTCAATGTAGGCGCTTGAACCACCTCCGGTGGCAGGCTGTTCCAGACCTTGGGGGCTCGGACAGTAAAGAAATTCTTCTTTATGTCCAGCCTGAAACGGTCTTGTAGTAATTTATGACCATTCAACCTAGTCGTCATCCCTTGGGGCGCTCTGGTGAACAAATGTTCCCCCAGATACTGGTGGTCACCCCTGATAAACTTATAGGTGGCCATCAGATCACCCCTGAGCTTGCACTTTTCCAGGCTAAAGAGCCCCAGGCCTCTCAGCCTGTCATCGTAGGGTCTACTTCCCTGACCTCTGATCATGCGCGTGGCTCTTCTCTGGACTCTCTCAAGCTTCTCCACATCCTTTTTGAATTGTGGAGCCCAAAACTGGATGCAGTACTCCAGCTGCGGCCTCACCAAGGCTGAGTACAAGGGGAGAATGACGTCCCGGGATTTGCTTGAGAAGCATCTATGGATGCAAGCCAGCGTTTTGGTTGCTTTACTAGCCACAGCATCGCACTGCAGGCTCATGTTCATCTTGTGGTCAATGATGACCCCCAAGTCTCTTTCTTGCATAGTGCTAGCCAACATAGCACTGCCGAGCCTATAAGGATGCTGCGGGTTTTTCTTCCCAAGGTGGAGAACCTTGCATTTATCGGCGTTGAACACCATCAGATTCTCGTCCACCCACTTGCTGAGCCTGTCCAGGTCAGCCTGGATCACCCGCCTGTCTTCTGGTGTGGATGCTTTTCCCCAAAGTTTGGTGTCATCAGCGAACTTAGCCAGTCCGCTTCTGACTCCAGTGTCCACATCATTAATGAAGATGTTGAACAGTATGGGTCCAAGGACAGAGCCTTGGGGGACCCCACTGGTCACAGGACACCATGATGAGTGACTTCCATCAATTACTACCCTCTGGGTCCGACCCCAGAGCCAATTTTCCAGCCAGTGGATCGTGGAGGACCCAAGGCGACAATTGGCCAGTTTCTCTAAGAGGTGATCATGGGAAACCAGGTCAAAGGCTTTTTTGAAGTCAAGATATATGACATCAATCTCTTCTCCCTTGTCCAGGTGATAGGTCACCTGGTCATAGAAGGAAATGAGATTGGTCAAGCAAGACCTACCCGCAACAAACCCGTGCTGGCTATCCCTTAAGATGGGAAGACAGGGAACTGTTTGAACAATTGAGGGGAAAAATTAAATATTCAATGAAGTGAAAATGTTTGTATATGTTTTGTATATTATGTATGTAAACACCCATTTTATGTATGTTAATTAACCTATTTGATTTTTACAAATGAGTACTGCTCTTGATTAGTTTGGAAAACTAACTCGCTGCTACTATTTTTTAACAAATAATACAAAAGCAATCTGAACTTGGAGATATGCAAAGTGCAAGTGTTCTGAATGTAACATTTTATACAAGTTTAATTTTTATGCAAGAAAAACAACCAGAAGATTCACTGTTGGAATAATAATTTCTAAAAGGCTGGTTAAAAAGACACTGTATATATATATGATTGTATGGTTGCATGTATGTATGTTGTATGTATGGTTGAAAAGTTCCAGGGGTCCTTACCTATGTTTTGAGCTGGGTAGTTTAAGCCACATGTTGGAACATAGTTTTCTCTGGGTGTCTGTTAGTCAGACATGTTTGGATAGTTATAGGTAAAAATTAGGTTAAGTCTGCAGTGTGTCATGTATCAGCATCCCTGCACATCAAAGTGGCAGCAGGAGCACTTTAATGCTTGTTGAACAAGCTCTAGTTAAAGCACCCCTGCCGCCATTTTGAAGTGCAGGAACACTGATGCACAAGATGCAGAGGCTGGTTGGAGCGCACGAATTAGCATACTCCAGCAGACTCAATTAATCCAGCCTGCTCCAAAGCACTGTAATTAGCATGTCAAAGCAGCCTCCTGGCAAGTCTACAGCACGTGAAGTGTCCTGCTTTGAAGGTGGCAGTCTAAAGATGTGACTTTTTTCAAAGCAGGGCTGCTTACTGCATGTGCTGAGATCCACCTCTGGTTACTTGGCTTACTTGAATGATTAAAGATTTTCCTTTTTTCTTTTTCTAACTAATTTTGTTCCTGTCACAACTATGGAGATGCAAAGGTGAATGTTATGGATTATACTTCAGTTTGTGTATCATGAGCAAAATTATTAACTAAATTCCATCTACAGAGACAATCTGTACCTGTAGAACTCTATGGACGATAACAGAGTTGCATATTTGCCAATGTGAGCATAACTGAAGGGCAACAGTTCACAAGTGTTCAGGCAATGGAAGCAACAGAGGTTGGAATCTGATTGGTGGGATCTTTGATGAGAAATGATTAACAAGCCAGAAAAAGCCAGCTTAATTTGGTGTTAGAAAAAGCATCTTTGTATTTTTAAATGCATCAAATTTGAACTACACTTACTTGAGACCCACTAAACATGACTTGCCATGTTGCTATTTTGAAAGAGTTGCTTTTTAAATGAGAACCACATTTTAAACTCCTACAAATAAGATGTGTGATGACAGATGTTAAGTATGTTAAGCAAGTGTTTGTGAGTGATTTCTCATATGTCCATATCTACAACATATTTTAAACAGAAACCAGACAGTATTTTGCACATTCAGATGAGATAGAAATTACATACCATTTCACATCTGAACACAGATATTAAAGACAGAAACTTCTTTGGGATACTAGAAAGACTGTGGTTCATACAAGCACCAGAGGGCACCAAATTGCTAAGCTGCTTGATCAGTCTGTCAGCATACAGCTTCCTTGAAAGACTGTTTACTAAACAGAAAAATTAATTTAAAAAAAGATATTTTAAAAAAATAATACAATTCTGATTTGCATAGCTTCTGATTTTGTGTAGCTGTTTCAGGGTTTGTTTGAAACATAATCTGCTTGTTAGTAGAAAGGATCCATTTGCTTTTCATTGTAACTATATACTGCTAATTCAAAATGAAGCAGTTTGGTTGAGTTCATCAAGCATATCTATTTCACTATCAAATCTAATTAACTCTAGCAGCAAATGGGTGCAAACTACTATTTGAAATTCAAATTACCTGAAAGCAGAGTTTAGTCGTTATAAATACCTGGAGGCATCTGCAAACTTTGGGCAGCTGGAATGCTTCTGCTGGATACTGTCTTAGCCACCAATGATTTGTCTATTCTCTTTCCAAAAGCTATAGACTGGAGAACACAGGATCTTTTGTGGTTGTAAATATGTAATGCAGATTCCTTTTCTTTTTGTGTAATTTCTGTTAAGAAAGAAATAAAAACTCTTACACTTTCTCTCAATCAATACAACCTAATTTCAGCTACCTAGTTGCAATCAGAAGAAAATTCAATTTCTTGAACAAACTTACAACAACATCCTCACCTTATGTAGAATTTCAGAATTCCGTTGCCTTGAGTACAGAAACAGCTACATCAGCTGAAGATTTACAGTGAAATCCTGGCCCAACTGGTTTTATTAAGGTGGGATTTCACTCTTATACTTTATTTGCATATTATTTAACTAAATGAAAACCTGACTTATAGATTGCCATATGCATAGTAAAACAGTGTTTCACATAAAGGTCTGTAACAATTCCCTTTCTTTAATAAATACAGAGAGGGCTATAGGAATGCAATAAAAAAAAAGTTCTGTTTTCACTTTTTTTTTGCACTTTCCTTCAAAGATGACTTCTAATTTGGAAATAAAGGGATTGAGATTGCAAATCAAACCAGGCGCGTCTACACGAGATGCTACTGCACTATGGTTACTGTGCATTTATTTAGTACTTATATAATCAAGTACTAAATAAATGCATAATAACTGGAGTTACTATGCAGTTGCGCCAGTGAATGCCTTGTAAGTGATGCTACTGTTCAGTAGCCTAATAATAATGTACAGTAGCATATTAGTACATTTGGTGCTGTGATGCACTACTGCATAGAATTATTTGGCTACTACAGTGTACAGATGCATCCACAGAGGATTTTTACATTAAGAATCTGAACTGTATGCTAATAGACATAGGCTGAAGGTTCAGAACAAGAAACTGGAAGAAATATTTTCAATTCAGTGAGGTTTTTAAATATTAGTGTCTAGGGGAACAATTAGAAAAGAACTGCAGTAGTCATGCCTGGAGGTAACAGAAGTGTAAGTGTCTTGTATAAATGAGGAAGATGGGAGTATATTGCAATAATGTTCCACAGATGGTAAAAAGGACTTTGTAAATCAAAGAAATAGTTCTCAGAATGACAGTAAAGGGTAAACTTGGGGGAAAAATACCTAAATATTTTCATCCAGGAATACTGATTGTAGTATTGTTGCATTTATAGGAAAATTAAAACCATGAATTTAGCAAAATTACTCTCAGATTTGTAAATTGCAAAAGAGTGTCCCCAGGTTAAACTGCAGTTAATTCTCCCTCATTCTGTAATGGTCCTCAATTCAGCAGAAAGAAAGAAGCACTACTGTGAATACTGAAAAAAGATATTCAATACAAGGGCAAATGTTCAGAAAGGGACTTGAAGTTCACCAGCAAATCTATATGTTTGCATGTGCACTCATATGTTACAACTGCTATGTGGGCCTACTTCTGTAAACTTTTCTCCCAGGAGGGCAGTACTTTCAGAAGAAAAACTGAAATAAATAAAACTACTCTTTTTTTTAAATATGTAAATTACGGTGGAGCCCAAAGTGTACTGTTCTTTCTAAACATGAAAGATATTCAGATTGCTGTGTGGAAGAGCTGATTCTGAAAATATAAAAACAGTTGAAAGGTGAGAGAAAAGTGATGTGCCTTACAAACACAAGGACTGTAATGACAATGGACTGGTCTGATTAGTAAAAAAGTTATGCTGAGAATTCATATATTTCATAGACATTAGGGCTGGAAGGGACCTTGGAAGTTCATCTGGGTCCTGGAAGGTATCTGGGTCATAAATCCAGTGCCAGCAAGCCCTACACATCATTTCCTGTTATTGCTGTCTTTATTAATCAGTTTTTAATTTTTATGCATGTCCTAGAGTTTTTTTTAACTGTTGTTTTTCATAGATTTCATAGACATTAGGGCTGGAAGGGACCTCAGAAGATCATCGAGTCCAGCCCCCTGCCCCAGGGGCAGGAAGTCAGCTGGGGTTAAGGGATCCCAGCAAGATAAACATCCAAATGTCTCTTAAAGGAGTCCAGAGTAAGTGCTTGCAGTCTGTTCCAGGCCTTGGGGGCTCAGACAGTAAAGAAGTTCTTCCTTATGTCCAGTCTTTAAACTTAATTGTTTAAAGTTAAACTTAATTTCCACCATTCCTCTTTCAAGGGTGCCACATAATGATAGCACTATTAGGTGTGCAAACATGATTCACAAGATAAATCCAGAGATTGTAAATAGGAATCTACAGTATTAAAAACATTCTGACCCATGGCAATCCTTCTGAGTTCTTTGCAACACAAAATTTACTCTATTATTTTTCTGTAGTCAATAATGAGTGAAAACGAAGAGCTGGCATTTTCCAAGGGGTCTAAAAATATTGAGAACCACTGCTCTAGACTCAAACCTACTAAATAATTCTCAGCTTCCAGCCCAACAGATAAGATTCAGTGCAAGCCAGGAAGAGGAGCTCAGGTCACATTAAGTACTTTATAAAGCCTTTGTGATTCTGAGCTGCTGCAGGGTCTTTGGGGACCTTGGTAGAATTTAGACAATCCCAGGGAGTTGTCTAAGGGAGCTTGTCCAGCTGTTCTATTGGTAGTAACACTGCTTAGAAATCTCCTACACACTGTGTTTTGGCCTTTCCTTCAACTCAACCCTTTGATTCAAGCCACATCCCATTGGCCAGCACTTCCAAGGGTACTGTTCAAACTGTCTTCCTCAGTTCCTCTGGTAAATTTTCTCTTGGTGGGAGTGGGAGCGGGAGCTTTCAGGATCCCTTTGCCCCCAAGACCAGACTATGAATGAGAATATTACCCAGTGTTCTTTAACAGTCCTGTTTCCTAATATTCAATCCCTTCTTTCACACTGAAAGAGCAGTTCAACCAAACGTTAGTCATGTAACTTAGTTATTTATAGAAGTTAGTCTTCAAGACCCACTTCTTCCATGGCATGTCCAACAATTTAGCGGACCAAGTCACTGATTTATTTCTCTGATAAGGGCAAGCGTGTGAGCTCTCATATCTAGCAAATAACTTTATCTGCAAGCCACATTTCAAGCCAAATTGGATCCAATTCAATATAGGTTTTCCTATATTAGCGAGTGAAGAAAAAGAACAGAGAGAGAATTCACCTCTTTTTCTAAATTGTCTAAGTTATCAGTAACTGTCAATGCATTCTGAAAACATTTCTTACTTTTTCTGTCAAGGAGTTGTACTGAAGGAAGGAAGTATATCACATAAAGACGGTACACAGGATCTTGTGACAGGGGATTATGGAATAGATCTGCAAAAGTTTAAAGAAAAAAGCAATATCAGCAAAACAACAACAGGGAAAATAATCTGTAGTTAGCAAAGATTTTGCAGAAAATATACCAGTAATTAAATAAACCCAAATTATTTGTATGCCTTGTGAACTAAGCCCTGTCAACATGCCTGAATAAGGATTGTAAGATTTATCCCACTATGAACAGCATACAAAAAGCTACAGACAATACCGATAAATAAAGTGGCAATTTATATGATAACACTTGCAAGTTCCTGTCCATATTTTACCATTTACCTAGGAAATCTTTGATAAACTGACATAACCAAACTTTCAGTGGGACTTGTGATACTAAATGACTTGCACCCTTTTGGAAACTTGACCCAAATATTTATAGTTGAGTTCACAAAGTATGTTATCAAAATAAACAAGCCTAATTTAATGTAAGGTACTTTTCTTTGAGATGTACATCAAGCCAACTTTACTGTTTTGTTAGAGGTAGAGTTAAAAAGTGCCAAGATCAAATTTCAGATCAGTTGGGTTCATGGGAATGAAGTCAGAGGATGTAATGAAATACAGCGTGCATGCTAAAACAGCGATTGGCTCATTCCTGGGTAGTTAACAATCAGACATAGTATTTCACTGCATTTTTTGGCATTTAGACACCATTCAGATTCTCTTTCCTTCTACAGCAGAATAGGATAGCCTGTGAAGTGGGGAGAAAGGACTTTCTCACCTTTTAGCCCAATAATCTAGTGGCTGGGGTGCTTGTCTGGAAGGTGGGAGACGTGGGTTCTATGGTCCCCGGAGATAGAAAGGGTTTGAAATTGCATCTCTCAATTCCCTGCAAAGTGTTATAATTTAGATGTTGCCAAGACTCTCCTCCAGCCCTCCTCTTCATACTGGCCCAGTGTACCTTGCCAGATTTCTTGCTCTCTGGCCAAGTGCAGTAGCTATGGGAGTGAAAGGTAGGGGCCCCCTTCCTCCTAGGTTGTGTTTTTTTCTATGATGAAAGTTACAGACCTTACCACCTACTGAAGATGCTCAGTCAGGAAGCACAAAGTGAGCAAAGCTACATGGAATCCAAACTGTGTAAGTGCCAAAAATTGCAGTTATGCAGCTATGTAAGTGTCATTTAGCCACATGAAGGGGAAACAGGATTTAACCCTGAATACCTAGACCTACAACTCATATGCTTTATATTACTTCACTGTTTACGGAAGGTAAAAAGGAAAAATAAAATATTAAGGAGGTAAAAAGTATAATAAGACTCTAGAGATGATTATGTATTTAAAATGAAAGACAAAAGAATTTAACGATAATCTGCATAGGCTACAAAGTTACAGGATGACAATCCTTGTTCTTCAGGACAAAAGACAACCACCAAATATGTTTGGGAAGGAGAAATCCCTCAATTCTACAGCATGACTGAATTACCCAGGTGTATTTTGGAGGATCTCTAGATGTATACAAGATCATGGACAACTGGTGCCTCCTGAGTCAGGGAGGGTACTTGTCCTCCCAGCAGCCAGTCTTTTCACTAAGTCTGGATCAGCGACCAGGTGGCAATGTCCCCGCAGCCACACTGCAGGTCACACTGACCCAGAAGTGGCAGTGGCGCACTGCTGGCACTTCCAGGTGGGCACGATCGGCTGCAGGGATCACTTCTCCTGGCGCCTCCACCCCCTAGCCAGCACTCTCAGGGGGGCATCAGCGCTGTCACCTGCCCCCCCTGCCAGGGAACGCTGGCTGTCAGGGGGCGCACCAGTGCTCTCAGGGGTTGCACGTGCCCCCTACGCATCACCACTGTACAAGATATAGGAACAGATGATTGGCCTTTTCCATACTGGAAATGCCCATGTTTGTAGTATTTTGGGAATCTCTGTAGACCATGTCCGTTGCTTTATTTTACCAATAGAGTGATTTTTAGATCATAAAAATATTTTTTAGAAAAATCATTGTGTTTAAAATGTGTTGGGAGAACCACTAGATGGCACTAATGGAAAGACTTCCATTCTTACTGCTGAGCAGTACAGTCAGTGCATTTATACTTTCAAGGCTTACTGCTGTGGTAGTAAGACTGAGCTTTCAGCCACTCCATGTAAACATACTCTCTGTGACCTGTCCTTTTGTTTTAGGATAATGGGATTTTCTTGATCTTGGCTTCCAAAGATAAATCTATCCAAATGCCCTGTCCATCACCAGCGTATCCTTGTGATCTGGGATCAGTTCTTCTCTCTGCAAAACACTTTCTGGCTACCAGCAAATCTTGTAATCTAAGTCTTAGGGTGCCTCCCCCAACACAACAGACATCTGCTGTGGGGCGGGGGGGAGGGGGGTGGAGATTGGGCTCCACTTTGAAGTTGAGCAAGCAGAAAGTGGCTGCATGTCTACAGCCTCTCTCACTTAGCCTCACCCACCCACCCTCCCAATTGCAGTGCTGTTTGCAGGATGAGAAGGGGAGAAGGCAGAGAGAAAATAGCTCTGGTTTGGAGTTTGCCCAGCCTGCGTTGGAGGGGGAGGGGGGGGTGGGAGGCAGGTGGATTGGAGGCCCAAACCCCAAACAGAAGCTCCCCTCCCATGCCTTCTCTCCCTCCCATCCTGCAAACAGCACCAGGGACAGGACTGAGCTGCATCAGCCCAGCCCTGCTTGTAAACAGGGACAAACAGAAGTTAATGAAGGTGCTCTGTTTGGAATGCCTTCATCTGAACCCTCATTAAATGAGGGTAAATTTGTCACATGATCAGGCACTTCTAAAACACTCTGCAGCTGTGCACTTCTATCAGGGCAGGGCTGTAGAGCACTTTCAAGGGGCTGATCATGCAACAAATATCACTTTTTTCAGCGCCCTTAGCTCCCCACAGGTCAAGTACAGGAAATACTTTCTTCTTCCTGTTCCTTGTCTGTCTTGTCAATTTAGAGTGTAGCATGGGATAGGTACCTATCTTGATTGGGGCCTATAAGCACTTCTGTGATAGAAATATGGTGAAGAACAAGAAGAATCTAACTAGAGCACTTTCAGTTAAGACACTTAAGGATACCAAACAGAATTATTCTGAAGCTATAATTTATTAAACTTGTTCCCTCCTGTAGTTTCAAGAAACAGAGTCTAACCGTCTTCAGCACACAGTGGCCAATCAAGACACTGACTGCACAGTAGCCCATGACTACCATACAGTAGTAGCATCATGTGGCAGGAAGCATGATGCAATGCTACTGCGCAGTAGTCACAAGCTACTGTGCAGTCAGCATCATGAAAAAGCCATTCCTTGGCACAATTGTGCAGTAACTCCAAATACTGTGCAGTCATTTAGTACTTTATATAAGTACTAAATGATTGTGCAATAATGGCTGCAGAGTCAGTGTCTTGTGTAGACGCAGCCAGTGTAAGGCATGCTTATTAAGCCAGTCTTTTCACTAAGTCTGGATCAGATCATGGATGTCTTCTGCACAGGCAAATACACCCAAAAGGAAGGGTTGGGGACAAAGCAGGGTCCTCTTGACCATTGCTTCCACTGCAGGTGCTGCATTCCCTGAAAGAATGTAGTAGCAGGTGAGGTGGGCTGTGAATCTTTGGAGGTTCCAAAGTTCTTATGAATTCTGGCTGCAGGACTATTGCTGTGCACCACATCCAACAAAGGGCAGTACCTAAAAGTCACAAGCATGTCATAAGGAAGTGGAATATTTTGGCAGCAGGATGTTGCTACCAAGAAAAACAATGATGGGCTTGAAACCTAAACAGTTACCTGTATAATACATACACTTGTTTTACGCTACATTGTTATTATATGTCTGGATGTCATGTTGAAGGGTGGTCATTTTTAAACTAGCCTGTCCAAAAAAAGTGGGGAGGAGGACAAGCAAAGGAACAAGAATCACAAATTCCTAAGGGAATTTTTCCATAAGAATAATCATTGGCAAAATGTTTCTTCCTTTCCCACGACTAAATACTATATATCCTACCTAATTCAACCTAACTGTAGGAGATCAATTTCAAATTCCTGAATACTGCAAATTAGCCAATGACTCACTATTTCTAAAGAAAGCCTACAGCTTTAAAATGTGTTTTGTTCATTTATTTGCCAGTCATTTACTTCTAATGTGGTAGTGAATGGCAGTATATTCTGTTAAAATGACAAAGATAATTTGATAGTACATTATTCCTAGGGATCTGGGTTTTCTGTTAGCCTTGGAAAAACGTGGATTTTCTCCTTTAAAGGAGAAAAATGCACAAAACTGCAGGCTTCCCCTTGCAGGCTGGCAGAGTTCCAGCCTGCAAGGGGCTGCTTGGGGCTGAGGGGACTGGGAGTGGGAGCAGGACAATCAGACAAGATGCCACATGCATATGTACATCCGCACATGCACGTGGCAGCCAGGTAGCATGGAGAACAGCTCCCTCCAGGTAAGCCCATGGGGGTGGGGGGAGGGCAGATTGAGGACTGCATGGTGAGGGAGTGAAGGAGTGGGGCAGGGCTGGGGACACTGCCCAGCCAGGGCGCGGCTGGGGCCTGGAATCCAGGGTCAGGGCAGAAATATGTGGCCGCAGGGCCTGGCCCAGAAACAGTACAAAGCCACAGGCAGCTCATCTAGTAGGAGGCAAGGGGGCTGGTTCCCTGCTGCTGCATGCACTTCCAGGTTTGTGCATGGGGTGGAGGCAGATGAGGGCTCCTTGCCCTGCTTCCCTCCCACTGTGGGCCTCTGCAGCCCAGTGGGTGGCACCCGGCATGGCAGGGCAGGGAGTCTTGGTGCTGCCACTGGGAGCCCCATGCTGGCCAAGCTGCAATAGCGAGGTGCCCACCGCCCACCCAGTAGCAATGTGGGGCACAACTCCGCACTGCTGCTGTTGCTGCCAGGTGGGTAGAGGGCACCTTGCCATGTAAGTGCAGCTGGTGTGGAGCACGTGGCAGCAGCACCGAGCCTCCCCGCCCTGCTGCGCCAGGTTCTGCCCTCGAGCCTACAGAGGTCCCTGAGGGTAGGGCAGAAGGGTGGGAAGCCCTAAGCCCCTGCCCACGGGCTCCACTCTAGCTGTGCTGCCTGTGGGGGAGGGGGAGCTATGCTCTAGGCTCCACTCCAGCCACAGCAGCTGCCACCTCCCACAGGTGGCAACTAGGAATCGGGTGCTGCTGGGGGAGGGGAGGGGGCTGCGGGCCCTGTAGCCTCCAGCAGGGCTGGCGGGGGCAAGGGGTTGCAGGTCATGAGTGAGAGGCACCAACAGGGCTAGGGGGTGGCAGGCTTTGGGTTAGGAATGAGGGGCTCTGGCAGGGCCCAGAGGGCTGTAGGTTGGGAGTGAAAGGCACCAACAGGGCCAGAGGGCTGTGGGTTCGGACTGAGGAGCACTGGCAAGACCCATGGGGCTGTGGGTTAGGAGTGAGGGGCATTGGCAGGGATGTGGGGGGGCTGTGAGTTGGAGTGAGGGGCACCAGCATATCAGGGCTGCTCAGTGCCACAAAGCAGGGGGGACAACCCCAGCTGGACCTGCATTCTGGTGAACGAAGGGGGCAGAGGGAGCTCTGATTTTCTATGATAAAAAAACCAAAATCAAATGCCAATATATATAGGTATTTAGGATTTATTTTATTATAATGATTGAGGCACTAGTAGGCTTCCAAAGTACTTTAAAGCTGTAAAGACAGACAAGGTTCTTTGGGTGAATCTGAAATCTTTTAATAGACTAATTTAAATAGTTGGAAAAAAAATTCGGCAAGCTTTCGGACTTAAAAACCCTTCGTCAGACTGAGGAAGTCTCTGCAGTTGGTGTGTGCTCTTCCTGGATGGAATGAATAGTAAGGATTCTGACTTCTTTACTATTCATTCCATCCAGGAAGAGCACAAACCAACTGCAGATAGTTCCTCAGCCTGATGAAGGGTTTTTAAACCCAAAAGCGTGCCAATTTTTTTCCCCAATGATTTAAGTTGGTCTAATAAGAGACCAGATTCACCCAAAGAAATTTGTCTGCCTATGTTCTTAGACCAATACAGCTACAGCCTACACCCCTGTTTACATTGTAAATACATCAATAAAGCATTGTGTTCAACTGATACATATATATAGAGAGAGAGAGAGGGAGAGAGAGTGGAGTTTCATTTTAATCACAGAAAAAGGCAGATTTTGGGAAGTGTTTTTTAAATCAGAGAATTTGGGATTTTTAAACAGAGAAAACCAGGATCCCTGGATATCACCTTCATATGGAACCTTGTCTGAGAGGTGGAGATTGGCAATTTTATGGAGAAAAACTAGTAAGCGTCTACTATAGTGCTATCTTATTTTTCCCCATGGATTAGACTCCATTCCTTTATCTATGAGCAAAAGGAAAATGTCACATCAGACCAAATGTAGTCTGTCTTTTCTGTTTTATTCTTAGTTTTCCTAAATACTCAGCTGGATGAACAAGTGTTAACTGCATTATCCCTATGTCATTGTGGCTGACATACACAGCAACTCAGCACTCCTTTGATTTTCTACTATTTCTCCTTGCTCCCACAGCAACAGTACTGTAAAGCAAACTGCCTGTGCTTGTTGAAGCTCCCTGTTAATTGCTTTGGCTATAACCCTAAATCCATGTGACAGCACCATTCAGAAAGAGGATGTCTGTCCAAACTTTGTCTAATCATTTCAAACAAGTGCATTTTCAGATGGTCTATTTTTAAACCTTATACATAATGAAATAACTTATAAATAATTTGATTGGCATGTTGTCTTTGTAACAGTTGACTTGTTTCAAATTCTTGGCTCAGCTTCAGCTTCAATTAAAAAATGTACTTTTCAAGCCATATTTTTATTTCTTGCCATCAGACATGTAGCTTTTCGAATGTATAAGCTAGGGCTTGATGATATTATACACCTCCATTAATTATGTTACCAAGGCATAAAATTAGTTTCCTGTTTCTTAAAGTTCTGAGAGCTTGGTATGATCTATGAGCACATTCCTTTAGGAAAGACCAAGAAAGATTGCTTACACTTTCACTTTCAATAGGTTAATAGCATATAATCCTACTTCCCTTGAGGCTACTTCATACAGTGAAACATAGTGGCGCCAGCACTGTCTTGTTTATCTTAATTTGAAATTTCAGTCTAAGCTACTTTCATTTACCACTTACTCCACACAGTATATCAAAATGCCTACGCTAGTTAAAACAGATATTGGTATGCTTAATTTAAAGAAAAATATAATTCTTGGATATAAGAATCCATTCACTATGGAGAGAAGGAAAAAACCTTCAAAGTCTGAATGATTCATTCCAACTCACAAAAAGAAGCATACTTTCTGTTCGTGTTATTGATTGTTGCATTGCATAATAAAAAGTAAAGCATTACTTAGGGTTTGCAGACTTATCATTCCTGTCAGTTCCTTCACTGTTTTGTCAAGGTGCTTCAACTGGTTGTTGTGAAGCAGCAGGACTTGTAATGAACTCAAGTGTTTCAGAGCACCTGAAAGAAAATAAACAACAAAGTATTCTTTCCATAACAAGCTGGTCACATCTGATTGCCTTGGTTTTCTTTCCTCTACCATCTCTTCCTTTCTACTCACATCACCTGCACTTATCTCTTGCTTTCCTGTCCGCATTTACTGATTTCTCTCCCTCATCCTCCCCTCAGCAAATCTGCTTCCACATGCATTGTCTCCTTTCCTCTTTTTTACTTTGTCTCATACAAAGCTAATGTTAGATGATCCCTCTTCCCCGTCCTTTACCTCTGCTTCACTTTTCTATCCCACAAGCTTCAGTTCAATGCTATTCACATCAGTTCCAACTTAAATGTTACTCCTTTTTTTAACCTCTTAAGTAATTCTCACTTGCCTACCATGTTAAATTTAAACTTTCTGTTTTCCCTAATTTCTACACTATTCTCATCCAAATATTTTAGTCAATGATGCCACCATTACTGCTTCCTCTTCTGATATCTTGGTACCTTCTGTTTTGTCTCCTATCCTCTCAATTGCCTCTTAAAGAGTCATAAATTCCCCATGCATCTCACAGACATTAACTAACATAATTTAATTTCCTTTTTCATTCCATCTTGGTACCTCGGTCCCACATATATAAAAAGATAGTGCTAACATTTTTTTAAAGTTTGGACAGATTCTTTGTTCCTTGTTAATGTGTAAAAAAAAGCAAAAGTAAAATGGCAATTTTTAAGAAACAAAGATGAAATTTCATAAGACGCCAGAGTTTTGCAGTTACTTCACAGAATATAACTGTGCTTTAAATGTCTAGTAAAGACACTACAGACTCTTTGTGAATGCGTAATGAATGAAACATTTTTAAAATTTAATATCCTTTATTTTCATGGCATGTCTGTCAGCACTGGTATCAGTTTATTATCACATACATACATACAGTACCCAAAGGGCAGTCTTAATTGAATTATGGTGTGCCAGGCCTCCACAGGGACTTCAAATTATTAATTCTGTATGTTCATTTTGAAGGAAAGAATTTGTGTCGCTAGATAAAAAGGTACTATTCTAAAGGAGGCATGATTTCCTCCATCAGAATTCTTATATAATAAAAGGCTTAGTCCGTCTGTCTGTCTGCCCATAATGCTCTTGGAGCACTCTGATTGATTGGTTAGTGAAACAACCAATCAGAGTGTGGAGTACTGCCATAATGGTGGAGACGGAGGGGATGGAGCAGAGGGGTGAGGCCAGCAGTGTTGGCCTGATCCCTCCACTCCGTCCCTGCCATCATAGCGGCGCTCCACTGCCTCTGAGGAGCAGGGCTAGGGAGGGGCAAGGCCAGCAGCACTAGAGGTGGCAGAAGTGCAGGGCACTGGAGGATGAGGATGGAGGGGATGGCAGTGAAAGCTTCCCCACCTCCCCCTTGGAGGCGGCGGTGGTGCGGGGTGGTAGGTGGTGGCATTCCATCCCACCCTGTCATTCTTGACAGGCAATTCAGTAGTGCTTCAAAATAGTTTTAAAATCAAAATAATATATTTTCAGTTCACTTTTAAAGGCGATCTTGGTTATAGTTCACTTACTGCATACATTTTGAAATAGCCAATTAATAAACAACAGTTCTGAAGCCAAATTCAGCCATGACATAAGCGGATGCAGTAGAAGTGAACCAGGCTTGAACTTCATCCCAAATATTGCTATACAACCACTCAAGCTTACAATAATAGGTCAAGTTCCTAAAACAGGTACATGCTGTTACAAGTTAAGGTTGGTTATTTTCAGCTACTATTAGTGAGTCGATGAGTGCAGAACACTTACATCAAACTCATTCTGCATTCTAATGCACGGAAAAAAACTTCAAACCTTTGCTCAGGAATTTATAATTTATGATGATACCTGCTATATCTCTCAAGTCATTATTGTTAAGGTAGAGTTCTGTCAAGCAATAATTATTAATCAAGAATGTAATCTCTTGGATCTGAAACAGAAGAGAAAGGAAAACAAATATCTGTAAATCTAATTTTTACTTTTGAAAAATATTAATTAATACATCCAACTCAACATTCACCTTAAGGAATTATACCAGCACTAACTAATTTGAAGGAGAATGAATTTGTTCTAAGTTTCATGAAAAATGTTCAAAATTTAGTCAGGTTTCAAAGATCACAAAAATTACAATTACAGCAAAATGTATGCTTATGGCCATGTTCACAGTAAACTGCGTTATCTTCAGTTCCTGTCAGTTTTCATTCCCTAAAAGACTTCCTGTTTCTCCCCTTGTACCTGTCTGTCTGCTACACTATGGTATTCATGGCATAAGTGGAATGTTCATGCTGCTTCAGGTATATTGACGTTAACCTGCTCAAGCAGTCTCACAATGAGAAGTTGAGATCCAGGGCTATCTTAGATACTTTTGCAAAGCATCCAGTATCATACAAAGCTAACAGAGCATGATTCCAAACCAGTTTAATTAAGGCCTGTTGCCAAAGTAGCAAACCTCTGCTTGACCAGTCCTCCTCTGTAGTTGGCTGTTGTACTGACCAAAAAGTGTGAGTACCAATGGTGACATTATTAAAAGAAGACACTGTAAAGTGGTTCAAATACAAGCAAGAATGGGAAGCAAGATTCCATTTTCAGTGTTCATTTGACCACGTGATCAAACATGCTAAGTTGTAAATATGCAAAACAACCTTAAATCTAAGCTATGGTGACATTTCTCTATGTTTAACACACCTTTTTGTTTTTAGTAAGACCCTTTGAACCCTTTCAGTTGAGGTGAAGTCACAAAAACACATCATTAAAGGGAACCACCTGTTCCCTTTTAAGTTAAGGAGAGTAGGGCCTCTGGAGCAGGGCTGTCCAACTGGTGATCCGTGTGTTGCATGTAGCCTGTGGTCCCCTGCAACCACCTCTTCCACTGCTGTGCAGCAGGGGAGTGCCTGGGTGGGCCACATGCCACCAGCGGTCCCCCTGCAGCAGGGGGCCATGTACCGCTCATACAACTTGTGCTGCAGGGGGCATGGAGCTGCATGCTGCTGGCGCTGTCCGTAAGGCATCATGGGGAATCCCAGGGGATCATGTGCCACTGGTGCAGCATGGGGTGAGGGGAGGATTGGGGATCTCAGAAGTCTGCCCCCCTAGTGTATGGCCCATGTGGTGTGCAGGCCCTAGCTGTGCTGAGAGTGGACAGACTTGCTCTAGAGCACTCAGCTGAAACTCCAGCCCCTAAAAGATGCCATTCTGCTACTTAAGTCTGAAGTGAGGACATAGATATTGATCATCAAGCCTTATCTTCTCAGACTTGTGTCCTTTACAGAGATATAGAGTAGCCTAATATCCATGGATCAAGTTCAGCTCCTCTATGTTGCCATATTTTAGAGTTTTTTCAGATTTATATAACTTCAGGTCTTTCAACCAAGTTGACATAAGATGCTGTATAATTAACATTGGCCCGAGGCAGAATAAAATTATACACTCCCAAGTGAAATGGAATGTAAAGTAGTTTCTCTGCTGTTCACAGAACTGCATACTTATCTCAGGAAGTACTGTTGTATACACAATGTGTTCCAAGGTACTGAGAACAATGAGAAGATGTGTGAACTGTGGTACAGTATCTTAGAAAAACTAAAACAGTATTTCATAACCTATAATGTTTTATTATTTATACTATTTTCATGTTTTTTCAAGATCAATGAATAAAAGAGTAGGCATGTGTTTAAGGGCAAGAAGTTCTGGTTATATGCTTTGGTTTTCTAAATGAGATAGTTTTGTCATCACCTGTTATTTGAAAAAAAAGGTTTTGTGCTTAATACTTTTCACTTCCATCACACCTTTCACATGAGTGTCATGAATACTTTGTAAATCATTGTCTAAAAATCTATATAGGATATGGTAAGTAGAATAATCTTTATACAAATAGAGAAACTAGGGTACAGTGGCTAAGAGTATAAATAGATATTGCCAAAGGAAGTCATTAGCTGTGCCAAGATGTGTCCTGTCCGAGCTGATCTGCTTCATGGAGCAAAGCACATATTGTCTGTTGTTCCACCTGTTGGTCCCAAGGGACAGCGGGTGATGTGTTTCCCCCCTTGCAGAGATGCATTCAAAGCAATCTCTGGGGCATGTCTGTACATGGGGAAAGCCAGCTCTGGTGAGACTGCTAACCAGCCCAGGGAATCCCAAACAAGGGAACCCAGGATTGGGCCCCCAAAACCCCAGGAGTGCCTCCCTGGAGAGGCTGGAGAGTGCAGGCAGCTCTGGGCTGACCGTGCTCTCCCACCATAAACCTAATAGATGTTTGCCGCAATAAACCAGCACGAATTGATGCTATGTTGCAGTCACAAATGTGAAGCATTTATGGAGCACCAATGGATATGAACGTCTGCTTGCTTAGCCTTTGTGCCTTCATAAAAATGTTTATGGCAGTACAAAGGTGGTATTTGTTTCTGCCCTAAGTGACTGAGGATCACAGAGTGAATCAGTGAGCTGGGAATACAGTAAACTAATGCCACCTGAGGATCTGGTTCCCCGTGTCTTGCTTTAACCACGGGTTTAGATCACTGTCTCTTAACCACAAGTAATTCAGGAAGAGTTTGCAGCCTGTTCTTGTTGGTATAAGGTATGCCTAACTTCCACGCTCTTTATCACCATTTCCTGCATGCAGATGGAAGCAGCCTCTGAAAAGTTGCTATATTTCCCTTTTGCACAAGTGGACAGGCAGGATGAAGCCTTAACTCTACCACCACTGCCAAAGTTGCTAGCAGCAAATTTATCTTGCTGTGCCACAGAGTGACACAGTCTGTCACAGCAATACCTCCATGTTGTAGTGTATTGCCTCTGTGAAGCAGAAGAGAGACAAGGGAAATTGTATCTCAGAATGATAATCTCATTCCTGATCTGCTATGGATTAGATCAGAAATTGATAGTCTAGCCCAGTGGTTGGCAACCTTTTCTAACTCAAGCCATCCCTCAATAGACACCAGGAACCCCCAGCTAAACTCACAGTACCCCTCAGAAAATGCTCTCTCAGTTTTCACTTGTTGTTTTTTTTCCTGTGGGCAAATAATAGAATATTTTTTCTGTTACAAGAAACTTGGAAAGATCACAACAGGTTAGAATGTTTTTAACAGGATGGATTCCTATTAGAAGTGTCTGGGTTTATTTTGTGAATCACTGTAACAGGGTGGTCAGTCGGCTTAAGGTGAAGCTAGCCCTGCTGAGTAGCTGCAAGCTGTGGGGAGCTACTAATAAGGGAATGACTCACTAGGAGCTTAAAAACCCAGAAAGGAAAGAAGAAAGAGGGACTATGAGGGAACAGTTTGGAAGCAGGATCCACCTGTGACTAGAACAGCTTGCTACAGTGAGGGACCATGCTGCTATGCTGGGGGCCAGAAACAAATGGATACTTACCTGGCTAGACTCATTTGAGTCCCGTTTTTGTGTTTTTAGGGTTTGTGGGGTTTTTTTTTGGGTTGTTCTCCCGCCCTGGCGGGGGGTCGGGCTAGAAGAACTATTAGGTCCCTTCCGACCCTAAAACTATGAAACTATGAAATTCCTCTCTGAGTGTCTGAGATAGGGCATCAGGTTTTGGTTTTTGTTTGCTTATTTGTCTACTTCAGTTTAAAAACCCAGTTTGTCTGGGTTTGAGTTAGGAGAAGTAGCTGAGGAGATTCTCAAGGAGCAAATCTGCCTGCAGAAGCTAGCAAGTCACATAACTCACAATCATGTTTGTACACCTAATAACAATAACATTGCGTGGCACCCCAAGGCACCCTTGAAATTAATTCAAGGCACCCTGGTTGAGAATCACTGGTCTAGTCCTTGGCTGTGTTAACAAACAGTTTTTTCACTGCCTTAATTCTGGGCGGCATGCAGTATGGAAAATGCCTTAATTTTTTCTAAAATATTTTGATTTGTAAAACATTTGCTCCTTTGGGTGAATTAAATGTCCAAATATAATTCTTTATCACTTAAAAAAAATCAACTGCTACTCTAGCATGCATATCAAAGCATATGTTTCTGATCATATTTATTCTGTTAATTTTTCAAAGAACAGATACATAGTTTTTTTAAATTAAATATGTTTATCCATGTAGTATATGCTATTATGTATTAGCAAAAGTCTGAGGTGATTAGGTATCTTCATTCTAATAACATGTTGTATTACCTTATTGTTGTTAAGCCACAAATACTTTAACATCCGAAATCGTGACAGACTGGGGATGACCTTTAGTCCTCTAAGGGAAAAAAAAGAAAGTGACCTTGCTTTAATATACTCAATCATAGTTTAATCTTTAGTAAAATAATGCTATACAAACATTTTAGAGCAACTCTTCAACATTTGCCACAGAGGGCAGGACGTGAAGAAATGGGTTAAACCGCAGCAAAGTAGATTTACGCAAAATTTAGATTTAGATTAAATCTCAGGGGCAAAAAAAATACTTCCTTACTATCAGAACAGTGGAACAGTGGAACATGAGGGCCAGGGAAGTTATGGAACCTCCTTTATTGTACGTTTTCAAGGAGAGGCTGGATAGGCTTTTGGGGTTATCAGGCAAAATAACAAGCAGTATAGAAATAGCGCATCCTGCATTTGTGCAGTATTTGCTCCTAAGGTTAAGCCTTTGATTCTGACTACTCTACATAAACTGTAACAGGGAGAGACATACAGAACAGAACAAGATGGCAGAGATGGGATAATTGATATGATCAGTGCTTGAGAGTATACCCACATATAGGAAGTGATGCAGAAAGGGGAACAAACTCATTTTTAAAGAAAACAAATCTCAATTTTTGTCTGAACTGAGTCTTTTTTCTCCCTGAAAGAATTGACTTCAAAAAAATATATTTTTCTGTTGGGAGACCCAGCTGCTTTACTGTTCCCAGAAATGTCACTTAAAATATATAGAAAAAATCTTACATTTTGGGAAGACCAAATTAATGGGAAAATTGTTACTTAAGGTATAGCATAGATCTTCCAAGCATAGTATAAATGAAGAATGCATGGAAGAATACATACCAAATGCATGGATGTACTCCTGAGAGAGCCTGGAATTTCTTCTATTAAATATTACTTCTTTGAATCAAATTGTCACTTAGGGATTGGGGTTTCAGTTATATGTCATGTAGTCAACTGAGCTGCTTTAACACATTGTGATGACTTTCTCTTCCCTCCAGTATTTCTATATTTTACTACGCTCACTTATTAGGTCTCATTTTAAGCTCTTTGTAAGCTCTCTAGGGCAGAGACTGCCTCTTAAGTCCTTGTAGAGTGTACTTCTTTGATTACTCATCTAATATGATGGGGCTTTTGGGTCCCATTGTAATAAATAATAATAATAATCTTTCCTAACTAGTGTTGCAGTGTTGTTGTAGCTATGATGATCCAGGGAACATGCAAGAAGCAAGATTTGTTTGGAGGTATCTTTTATTGGATAAGCTATGTATTCGGGAGAGATGTTAGACCTGAGGGAGTGTATTTTGTGCCTGAAAGCTTGCTTAGCATCTCTCTCAACTACTTATTTGGTTCAATAAAAGATATTACCAAAAAACTCTTGCTTTCCTAACCAGATAACTTAAGCTGAGATGCCCAGTAATTCTTTTAATATTTGTTTCAGTAACATTAATAACGGATTTTTATTTCCTATATATGTATTACTACAGATGAATCTTGAAAATTGACTTTATAAATTTAATGTTTCACTGACTCATACGTTGCTCCAGTGACTTGAGTGTTTGGTAAGGAAGCCATAGGATCAGTAATGATTAACAGCATATCTTCAGCCTAAAGCAGTGGTGCCCAACCTTTTTGCCCAGCGGGCCAGATTGGCAATGCCCAGTCCACAGGCCGGGCCCAGATGGTACACTTGATCCAGCATCCAGATGAACATGGCAGGCACCATCTGGTTGCATGGGGATGTGGGCCAGGACAGCCCCACTGCAGGCCTGCAGGAGAAAGGAGCTTGACCTGGCCCTGTGAAAAGGGAAGGGGGTGTGGCAAAGCCCTAACCTGGCCCTATAGGAGAAGGGGGCACGGTCCAGACCCAACAGGAAGGAAGGGGCATGGCCCAGCCCTATGGGGCGGGGGGAGAGGAGCTGGGGCATGGCTAGGCCCCAGTCTGGCCCCATAGGGAGGGAAGGGGGCATGGCCCAGCCTTGATCCAGAAACAGGGGGGCATAGCTTGGGTCTAACCAGCTGCACAGGGAGTGGGGTTTGGCTATGTGGAGAGGGGAGGTTGGCCATATTATTTCTAGACCCACGGGGAGCCACGCAGGTCAAATATGATGGCTCTGTGGGCTGCATTTAGCCAGTGGGCCAACCCCTGGTTCACAGGCCAGACCTGGCCCAGGAAGCCATGTCATTCTGCCTATGGGGTTCCTCATGGGTCCAAAAATTTGATGGAAGGGAAGCAGCGGCAGCAACAGCTGCTCCCTTGCTGCCAAATTTCCAGACCTGTGGGGAGCCCTGTGGGCTGAATAACATGGCCCTGTGTGCTATATTAGGTTAGATCAGGCTCACATATCAGCCCCATGTCATTCTTCCAGCCCACAGGCTAAAAGGAAGAGCACCACTGGCCTAAACAAACTAATCTTTTTTTGTGCTTGGATAATAAATGTGCTTGGATTAAATCCCATTTAGTTGGCTGTGGGTTTATACACTTATGCTCCCTTACTCTTATAGCCTATATTGTCCAACACAGAAAACACTGGTCTTCTGTTAAACTGGTGATTTCAGCTTCCTCAAAATAATCCATAGGCAAGGATTTGGCAAACACCTATTCGTGTGCTTCACTTCACAACCATAAGTACGTACGTTACTGATAGGAATACATTTAGGCATGAGAGTGTTTACAGAATCAGGTCCTTTGTGTTGACCTGATCTATTTTAGAGGGCTGTTGTTTAATTTTTTACGCTGTTTATTGATACAATCCTGTACTATTTCTCAGTCTGCAAAACTAAAGTTTCCCTCATACTGTCTCTTAGCAGAGAAATTATCTTCCCATCTTCACTCTGTTCTTAATTTACAGTCAGCATTTTAATTGCCTTTACTCCCTCCCTAATAATATCATTGTTTCAGCTATCTCCAAGCTTGTTCTGTTCTTTCTGGTACTAAGGCATTTAATTAGCCCCAGGTAGAGATTAATTCAAGATTTTAAAAGAGCCTGTCCTTTTTTGTATGTCTTCCAACCTTTGCATGTCTTCTACTAACTGATCCTTCATGGCCTCCAGCATTCTTCTTACCTACTGCTAAGCAATTTCCCTATGATGACAGCTTTCAGTGTCCAGAAGTAAATTTTTTCATGTCCCTTTAATAGCATTAATTTAAAAATATAATTTCATCTCCTCTAGTCTGAATGAGTTTAATAATTAATTTTTCATTTTCTCCTTAGTTTAGCTAGCAAATATGCATGTCAATCAACGGTAAGAGGCATGATCTGATACTGAGATTGGCTGAGCTTCAAGGTTTACATAAACTAGGATTAAAAAAAAAAACACCCTTTACTGTGAAGTTTGGTTTTCTCCATTTATCAAAGAGACCAACTTACAATCAGCTTTTTCAAGGATGTGGAGAAGCTTGAGAGAGTCCAGAGAAGAACCACGCGCGTGATCAGATGTCAGGAAAACAGACCTTACGACGACAGGCTGAGATCTATGAGGCTCTTTAGCCTGGAAAAGCACAGGCTCAGGGGTGATCTGATGGCCACCTATAAGTTTATCAGGGGTGACCATCAGTATCTGGAGGAACGTTTGTTCACCAGAGCACCCCAAGGGATGATGAGGTCGAATGGTTATAAACTACTGCAAGACCGTTTCAGGCTGGACATAAGGAAGAATTTCTTTACTGTCCGAGCCCCCAAGGTCTGGAATAGCCTGCCATCGGAGGGTGCATAGATGTCATAGACATCAGGGCTGGAAGGGACCTCGGAAGATCATCGAGTCCAGCCCCCTGCCCAAAGGGCAGGAAGTCAGCTGGGGTCATAGGATCAAAAGGTGGTTCAAGCACCTTTTGATGCTTGAACCAAGGTGGTTCTTGATGCTTGAACCAAGGTGGATGCTTTTCAAAAGGTGGTTCAAGCACCTACACTGAACACCTTCAAGAGTAAATTGGATGCTTATCTTGCTGGGATCCTATGACCCCAGCTGACTTCCTGCCCTTCGGGCGGAGGACTGGACTCGATGATCTTCCGAGGTCCCTTCCAGCCCTAATGTCTATGAAATCTATGAAATCTATGGCTTCACTGAAAAATGGATCACTACTGTATGTACCATCTGATCTGTTCTTTTTTCATTCTGTAACAGAAGTTCCTACACGATGAGTAAATTCACAGATTTAAGCATTTCAAAATCAGGAAATGCAAATGTTAGGGTTTCAGGAAAAGTCTTAACTCTGTCTCTGTGTGTGCTTTATGATAATCTTTAATTATATGATCATATACTGTTTCTCAAATCATAGAATCATAGGGCTGAAAGGGACCTTGAAGGTCATCTAGTCCAGCTACCTGAACAGATGGAAGATGTGCCATTCCTAAACCATACTAGCTAGGTGATTATCTACCTCTTCTAGAAGCATTATCCTTGAAACATTATCCTGCCTCTTTTTGAAAACCTACAGACCTTCACCTGGGAAGCTTGTTTCACTGAAGGTTTAGTACATGCATCCAGCCACAGCAAACAGCATTCTATTGCAATTTGATTGCTGCAGCTTTCATTCCAAAGGGCACTGCTCCTCTAATCTGCTGTATGGGACCACTGATGTCCTCCAACTCTTTGAAGTAAAACCTGCAGAAAATAACTAGACAGCTCATCCTTCGCTCAACAACCCACTGTAAATTAAATTAAACAAATTAAACCTGGATTAAACAAATAATCCATGTTCCACTGCATTTCTCCTTGAGTTTTGCATGCATCATATGGTTTTATACAATCATACATGAATCTTGTATTTTTTTCATTATTTCATGCTAATCTAATTTTCTTTTCTCATTGACTCACATTTCTGATACATTAACTAAATTACATCTCTAAATTACATATTTTAATAATTTTGCCAGCACCTATATATTATGTTTTCTTTCTGGAGCAGCAGAGTGTCTTAAGTACAAATCAAGGGATGACACACATTTGTAAAAGCATTGGGACACCTAAAAATGCAAAAAGATACCTAATAGGATTCTCAAAAGCACCTAATTCCCATTGATATCTTTATGCCTCTGAATACCAGCCACTGCTGGCTAGCTAATTTAAACCTATGAGTGAGGTAATTAGCTTTCAATATGATTAGTCTATGTAAGCTGCTACTTACAAAAGCTTGCTCTATGCATCTCTGATTTAGTTAAGTCTATAAAGGTGTGAATTTAGCCTGCCTTCTCTGTATGTCAAGCCAATCTTCACTATTTCTTTTCTTAAGTCTAGTCCATGCACATCATTATTACGTTCATTATGTGCTTTGTATACCAATGACTTTTGCAGAATATCTGATGGGCGCAATAATACAAAAACTTATCACACACCATACCACCAGGTGTTAGTAAATATTAAAGTATTAGCATCGTACATTGTACTTACTGTCCAGCAAGATACAATACTGAGACATCTGCGTCCCTCTTATAACCACAGATCTTTAGCTGTTTTTCTATTGCCTGATAACATACAATAGATTTGTCAGCATAAACATAGTGCAACATCTTGCAAGCAACAGCAATGAGGTCTAAAGTAGACACAGAGAGAGATGACATTAGAAGTTTCTATCCTCAGTTGATAAAATTATGTCATTTTTCATATCTAATTACCATAGTATATTTATTCCAGTTTTTTGTCATCTGCATAGTATTCCTTTTCTTTAGATATACACATTGTTACAAATTCCAGGGAAAAAACACGTCACACATGGTGTGTACTGATGTTATTGGGTGCTTTGAGATACTAAAATCATGCTAACTCTTGTTCATGACCAACAAGCCTGCAGCAGATTAGCAAATCTTGAAGGTTAAATGCCTATTATACAAATACATGCATGCAGTTTATGCATCAGCAGTTCCACTGATATACAAAGATGAAGTCAGAATTAGAGTCTAAGCAGCTGAACATGATTTAAAATAAAAACCTACTTAAATCCCAAAATGTAACTTGAAAAAACTGTGCTGTTACTTATGGTAGTGCTGAAGTGATGTTATAGCCCTGGTGGTCCAGGAAATATGCATGAGGCAAAGATTTTTGTGGGTGATATCTTTTATTGGATCAACTGAATGGTTGAGATAGTTTTAGACAAGCTTTTGAATGCAGGGCATTCTTCTCTGCCCTGCATTCAAAAGCTTGTCTAATACTATGCCAACCATGCAGTTGGTCCAGTAAAAGGCATCGCCTGTTGTCAATTTAGTATGCCTGATTGTTCAGTATGCCAGATTGTTCATCGCCCGATTGTTCAGTATGCTTTGTCAATGCAATTATTTTCATAATCACTAAGCATTATTATAGCTCTCAACTATTAAATGCTTTCCAGAAAGCAGGAGAATATTGCATGGTGACCACTATATAGTGGCACATCTACAGCATCCCCCAGATGTTGTATAGTCTGAGATTGCTCAGAAACTTAAATTCTGGTTTTAGAGAGGAGGAATGAGAGATATTGGGATCATTCTGGAGAGACACAAGGGCTTTGGTGTATTGCCAAAATCCCACTCTGGAGCTGGAGAACTTTGCTGTTTGTAGAACGACTAGAGATAGGCTGAGAGAGGTTCGTTCTTTGCTTGTGCCCCTCACAGCGCTCCCCGCTGGTCTCCCTTCTGCTTTCCTACCCGTTGTATTCGAACCTCTCCCTCCACTCCATACCCTGCTTCGTGCTGTCCTTCCACAGCATCTGATGATTTGAACGCAAGTGCTCTCTCTCCTCTCTCTCTGTGTCATATTATGTATGAATGTATCACAAGCTTTCATGGAGTTATTAGGATTAAATATATCTTAGTCTATATATCAGTGTGAAAAGGTGCACGTCTCCCTGTGGGCGATATTGAAAAGAGGGAGCAGATGGTGTAGCGCAGCAGTGCTCAGCCTTTCTCGGCTGGCAGGCGAGATGCGCAGCACCTGACCCCGTCACACAGAGCGAGTGGGTGGCCAGGCCGCCTGGCCCGGGTCCCGCTGCACGGTGAAAGGCAGCCCTGCGTGAGGAGGGATGCAGGGCCCTGGCCAGCTGCAGCCTCGCAGGAGGGAGCGGGGGTGGCACCGTTTTTGGGAGTGCCAAAACCCCCACAGCCTCCCCTTGTGCGGTGCCGGTGTGCCCGCGAGGGGCCCAGCCCCTTCCCCACTGTCCGACCCGAGGCACAAAACGTGCCAAGCAAACCCCCCTCCCTCTGCTGCCTTGCTCTGGCGCCCGCCCGGCAGCCCTGCCCCAGCCTGGCCGGGCGGCGGGAAGGCGCGTCGCGGCCCCACGGGGACATGGCCTGGCTGTGACCCGCCCGCAGGGCTGGGGGTCGGGCGGCGGATCTGCCCCCGGCCCCGCTTTCCCCAGGTTACAAAAAGACCGGAGCAAACCCCCGGAGGCGCCGCGGGGCGGAGGAGACGTGTATCCCGGCCCGGCGCGGCGCGGCGCGGCGCAGAGTTGCGGCCTCTCCGGCTCACCCGCCGCCCGGCGCCCGCCGCCCCCCCC